AGCGATTTGTAAGGGGGTTTATGTCACCCTCGAGAGGAATACGCGCGCGTGACCCGTCCAAGGGTCGGGAGGAACGAAAGGGAAAGTGGCGGAGGGGTGGAAAAGAATGGCACGGAACAATGGGGGTGATACGAATGGGGGAGGAGAGGAGTGAAACAAAGGAGAAACGAGGAGGAAAGAATACGATTGGATCGGAGGAAGGGTGGATAGTGACGTTTCCATCGAGCCATCGAGATGAGTTTTGTGTGACGTTATGATTGGTTAAGATTTGACTGCGAAGGGTGCGTTTACTTTTCAGAGAACTGTAACCAAGATGGTCTGATATATGAAATATTGATTCTACTTTGGAAATGAAATTAGCGAGAATACGCAGACTCACGTGTTGTTTATTATTCATTTTTTGGGGGGAAGAATATAATATTTGATATTAATTTTAATATTAAAAAAATTAAATTATTAATCTTTGATAGAATCTTTAAATCTGTTTTTCTCAAAAATGGTAAAGGTGGACATACAATATTTGTATACAACAATCCATCGATATATTGATGTTAATATTGTTGTATATGATAAAATAAATGTATTGATTCGATGAATGTGATATATATATATGCATGATAATTAGCTAGTGGATAAATACATTTGGTAGGAATAATAATCATATTTATACATTCATAATCAATATTATTGTAGAATTGTAAACGTATACATTGTCTAGTCAGTGTGAACATTTATATTAAACACATCGTAATACAAAAATAATTTTCTTCGATATATATTATTCTTCAGATATTAAAAGAATCCACGATCCAGGATAAAAGCTAAAGAGACATTCTCGAATGCAAATGCAATTTGGAATAATCTCACACAGAACTGAACAGAATGAACACAGTAATAGAAAGAAAGTCTCGAATACTCCAATTTTATCTTTTCTTCTTCGCGAGTTCCATCTATACTCCGCGCGCACTTCAGCAAAGGGTAAAATTAAGAAAAGAAAGGAGAAAAAAAGAGGGAGGAAAGAAAAAACTGGAGCACAAGAGG